ACTGGGTATTGGTCAAAGTAAAAACGATGAAAATAACAGTATGGAAGACATTAAGAGTTTAAGAGTAGATGAAAAAGCAAGAGCGGATACTTTAATAATTAAATCTATTCAATAATGTGTGGCAAGGATTGGAAAATTAGAAAGTCAAAAATCGGACAAACTAATATATAAATTACCTGCGTTGAATTTATGCAACGCTTCATTAATTTAAATCAAGAACATTAAACAATAAATTTAATGTTATTGATTAGTTGTTTTCAAATATTGTGAAAAGTTTTTCATAAACATTTTATCTGGGTTCTTTTCTAAAAGGTTTATATTCAAAACTATGCGGTTCATCAGTGGCAGTCTCATACATTTTTTACATTAGTTTCTTGCTTTCATGTAAATTATCACTTCTAACAATTGCTGCTAATTCATCTTGCAATATTTCAATTTCTTTGTAGTTTCTAACTTTATAATACAACAAATGACTAATATTTACTCTAATACTTGGTGGCACGGTTGATGATTTTTGAAGACTGACAAGCGTTGATATTCCACTATGACGACCTCTACAGAATAAAGAATTTATCAATTTGTTATTTCTTGTTATTGCTGGATTATCAGATACATCATCCAATATAACTGATATATTAAATAACTTTTTCATTCCTTGTTTTTTCTGGTAGTCAATTATTTTGTTTTGAGTTTCTATAACTCTTTCTAAAGCTTCAACATTGAACTCATCCCACCAACACGGTTCTTTATCAGTATCTACTTTCAAACCTTCTTTAATGTATTTTTTAACAGGCAACCAAATACTATCTAAATTTACTGATGGGGACCAGATAAAAAATCTTTCAAATGCACCTCTATAAATATCAAGTATCATTGATACAAGTAGCGTCGATTTTCCAGCGCCTGACGGCCCTACAATCATCGCTCTCATCGGCAATTTAGGGACGACCTCGTGCTTACTTTGTTTAAAGTCATATTTGATTTCATCAAAGCCGCGGCTTGCTTGAGGACAAGTCAACGCCAGGCAAATACTTATGAAAATAATAAGTTATAATTAAATGATATCATATATGACAATAAGATCTATTTATTCAAATGAAAGTTATTAGTCGTACAGAATATATATAAAATATATGTGAGTTTTAGTTCCAGAGACTGGTCAAATTTATTATGATACGCGATTTTAACGTTTTATCGAAATTAGATCTTGTAACACATATAATTTACCTAAATCATCAAAAGTAAACGAGGATAAACTTTAATTATAATTTATTATTGAAATTTATGAAAGATTATCTCCGATATGTAGATACAAAGGAAATGATAAATAGTGTATCTAGAAGTTATTAATAATAATATTCTAGAGTGAATAGTAGATAACTGCTGTAAAACTTACTAAAGAAAATAGTTTTAGAAAAATATTTATAATTAATATTAAATGGAACATCGTTTTTTCATGGTATGATGACGGCAAATATCAATGAAAAAATGGAACAGGTTTTCCATTGCTTCAATCAATAAGCATTGAAGATAATTAGTTTTGTGTCTTGCTCGTGTGTGCAATGAAGACCCAAGTGCTGTGCCCCACCAATATTCTATTATGCATGAAAATAATAAGATCAAATAATTATTTTTTAATAATTATTTCATCTTATTATTTATATGACTATTATCCATTGCAGTTGTGGTAAAACTTATGATGACAAATATTTATTTAAACATCTAAATTCGAAACATCATCAGAAATTTGTGGAATATAGATGGAATAAAGACGATACAATGAAAAAACTGTACAACTCTAGGAAAAAGAACTTTTTTCCTAGAGTTCTAGAACTTGATAGAACTTATCAAGTTCTATCAAGTTGTACACGAAAAGAAAGACAGAAATGAAAAAATAATTTATCGTATTAGTTAATATGGAAAGGAGTTATTCAGATTATATTGATATAATAGATGAAGTAGAGAATATAGAACAAGTAATAATAACTGACAATAAAATTAAAAAATGCTGTTTTTATTCAATTAAATTAATAAAAATTAGGAAACTACAATATACAAAAAATATAAATGTAGATATAATATAAATGAAAAAAGAAAAAGAAGTAAATCAAATTCATTATTATATAATAAATGACCAATGGCCAGATATTAAACTCGGAAATATAAAACGAACGAAGTAAGTGTTAAATCACTAGGTGTAAGCAGAGAAGTAAAATGTGATAGAGAGAATGTAATCTATAGTATGAACTTTCAAAATGAATTAATAGTAAGATAAACAAGGCGTGTTAATATTAAATGTATTCCTTGTATGTTATCAGTCAAAGAAAAAGAACAAGCGACATGATATGGATGGACCAAAGAAGAAAGGAGGAGATAATGACAAGATAAACAAATGATGCAAAATTAGTATTTAAAGAAAATTAGTATTTAAAGAGTAGATTTTACATTAAATCAATTTTATAAATAAATAAATATTTAAATAATTAATGCTATAAATAAATATATATAGAAATGTCTGAAGTTGAGAATGATGCTATTGCTGAACTATCAAAGAAGATAATGACAGTTAGTAAAAATATTAAACTGTTGTACGAGATGATAAAACCTATTGACCAGAAACTTGATGCAAAGGCAAACGAACCAAAAAATAAAAATGAAGAGAAGGACAATATTGACAAAATCTTTGAAAAGAAAGGGATAGGCAGACCCAGCGGTGATTATGACACGAAGCGTAAAAAATATTGTGATATGTTAAATAAGGGACAAATCAAATGTCCAAAAGAACAAACATCAGAATATTATAAACTAATTAAGGGTGATGATGGTAAATATGCAATTGTTGAAAATTAAAATATAAATAATTCTAATAATATGAATTTATTAGAAATATTTAGTGGAACTGGAAGTGTAGGAACCATAGCAAAGTCACTCGGTTATAATGTCATCTCATTAGACTTGAACAATGCTGATATTAATTGTGATATTTTGGAATGGGATTATAAGCAGTTTGACAGAAACCATTTTGATTTTATTGGGAGCAGTCCCCCGTGCACCGAATACAGCAAAGCAAAAACGACAGGAATTAGGAATATTGAATATGCTAATAGTATAGTTTAAAAAACTATTGAGATTATCAAATATGTCAATCCTAAATATTTTGTAATTGAGAATCCTCAAACTGGATTATTAAAAAATCAGGAGTTTATGAATGAGTTTGATTTGAAAGATGTTGATTATTGCAAATATGGATTTAATTACAGAAAACGCACTAGACTTTGGAATAACATTACGAATTGGACACCTAGAGATTTATGTAATAGAGATTGTGGAAAAATAAGGAAAAATAAACATATTGAAACTGCGCAACGACGGCCATCAAAAACTAAAGCAGAATGGGGGGATAATTATGTAATACATAAGCAGGAAGATTTATACAAAATACCTGCTGAATTGATTTGTGAGATTTTGACGAGTTTGACGGATTAAGGATTTTGAGTGGGGGTTGGAGTTCAAACTTGGAATTTCTAGGTTCAGTCCAACGACACACTAAAAAAATCACATTACAATAATTCACGGCGGGCAGGGTGCCCAAAACTGGCGGGCAGGAGGGCAGGGTGCCCAAGAATGGCGGGCAGGGTGCCCAAAAATGGCGGGCAGGGTGCCCAAAAATGGCGGGCAGGGTGCCCAAAAATGGCGGGCAGGGTGCCCAAAAATGGCGGGCAGGGTGCCCAAAAATGGCGGGCAGGAGGGAGGTGCCCAAAAATGCTGCCAGGTGCCCCAAAAATGGTGGGCAGGTTGCCCAAAAATGGCGGGCAGGGTGCCCAAAAAAGCGGGCCAGGGTGCCCAAAAATGGCTGCAGGGTGCCCAAAAATGCGGCAGGAGGGCAGGTGCCCAAAAATGGCGGGCAGGAGGGCAGGGTGCCCAAAAATGGCGGGCAGGGTTTATGACTAGTAAAATAGTCCATAAACCTTACAATAAAAAACATTGTAAGATTTATGTTTTGAAATTATGGGGATTTTATATTTTGGGATTTTGGAAAAATATATTTTGGGAATTTGGGATTTTGGGATTTGGGAATTTGGGATTTTGGAAAAATATATTTTGGGAATTTAGAAAAATATTTACAAAATTTATGTATCAAATCTTGAGTTGAGGTTCTGTTATGAAATGATGAAAAAATATTATGTGAATTGGTCGGTTGAGGGGATATTATATTTTAGGATTTTGGAAAAATATATTTTGGGAATTTGGGATTTTGGAAAAATATATTTTTGAAAATTTAGAAAAATATTTGTAAAATTTATGTATCAAATCTTGAGTTGAGGTTCTGTTATGAAATGATGAAAACATATTATGTGAATTGGTCGGTTGAGGGGATTTTATCTAACTGGGGCCTGGCCTTTGGTAGGTGAAACGGGGGGGGGGTGGTGGTGTTTGGGTGGACTGGGGGATTTGGGGGGGTTGGTTTGGGGGTGGACGAGGGAAGGGGGCGGTGTGAGGCTGCCCCCGAATTCTCTGGGTTGGATTGGTTCAGATTTGGATTTGAACCACTGCTTGATTTGAAGGATATATGGGAAACCACCCCGGACGCCACCAAACCACCGGGCTCGAAGCCACCAGTTAGAGGCTTGTCGCCTGGTTCTGAAGCATGTTTGTTGTTCTCGGGCCCATAAAACCCTCCTCAGATTTACCCGCCAGAATTCGGTGAGTGAACTGAACTTGTCTTTCCTTTACAAATTACCTCATGGTAATGTGGTGCAACCAACTACTCAAAGGGCACTTGGCCCTTTTTCTATCCTTTGTGGGAGTCGAGTGCAAAAGTGCTGAAAACCCATTTGAACGGGGAAAAAGCAAAAGAGGGCTCTAGAAGGAGTTTGGTGGTTTAAACGTGTCACTACCTGTATAAGTCATTGAATCTTCATGGTTGCTGGCATAGGCTAGCATTTGTGGGAAGCTGAGCTCAGAAACGTGTCTAAACCGGGTGTTGTTCGCTCGACGAAGGCTGACTGGCCGTTCTTCGGGCTCTTGTCGTTGGCAAGCAAGCAAGCGGCACTGACGCCGCAGGCTGGCCGGAGTGTTCAAAGTCAGGCGTTTGCGCCGCATATATGTTTTGTTGGGTTCCAGATCATTCTTTCAAAAAGTCCGTTTCTCTTGCTGCAGGCGTGTCCCATTGCCTTTCGGATAAATCACTTGAGTTTTAACCACCCTCGAAATGGCTTGAGTTTGCATGGTGGTTTTCCCTCCAGCCAAAAGAGGGCTCCAATCAAAAGAAGACGAGCCTGAAAATTCGCCGAGGTGGTGGAGCATTTGCACATCAAGGGCATCGAGGAGATTCGGCCTCTGCCTATGCCTCGGATCCGTTGCATCCTGCGGGTCGGCAACCACATCTCCCTGGAGCAGAAGCTGCCGGTGAATTTCCGGTCCAAGCGGAAGTCCACGTGACTTGTCGAGACATATCTTTTGGCGATGTTTGCATATATTGGGCCGCAAAGGTGAGGGAGGGGGGGTGGTGGTGGTGGTGGTGGTGGTGGTGGTGGTGGTGGTGGTGGTGGTGGTGGTGGTGGTGGTGGTGGTGGTGGTGGTGGTGGTGGTGGTGGTGGTGCTGGTGGTGGTGGTGGTGGTGGTGGTGGTGGTGGTGGTGGTGGTGGTGGTGGTGGTGGTGGTCGTGGTGGTGGTGGTGGTGTGAGATTCGAGCCCTTAGCAAGCAAGTTACGTTTTCCGTGGTTTTCTTTGGGTTGTTTCGCTTTGGTTCACTTTGGTTTCACTTTGTTTTCAAGCATACAGGTACCTGTTTCACTTTGGTTGTTTCGCTTTGGTTTTTCTTTGGTTTCACTTTGGTTTCATTTTCAATCAACGTGAAACCAACAGGTTTCACTTTGCTTTTCTTTTGGTTTCGCTTTTTGTTTTTTCCTTCGGCCCAGCTGACTTTGCATTTGCCGAAACTTCGGGCTGGGATCGATCCGAGGCCTCAGCTCCTGTTGAGCACGGACGCCTGCAGTCTGCTGGGCACGGCGGCCTCCAACTTCCACCACGCCCGGCGCGAGGCGACTTTTTCGGTGGGCGCTGGATCGGTGGATCGGTGGATCGGTGGATTTGGGACTCGAAAAGGAGCGACTCATTGACTTGCACCTTTGGGATCCTTTGTTGAGAAGCTGATTTCAGAAACAAAGCCCAATTTGAAATGAATGAATGGATTGGTTCTTTGGCTCCGTCGACTCCATAGCTTAGCTTTTTGCTTGCATTTCCCCCTTTTCCACAAGACGTCCCCTTCACACTTCTCTCCCCGCCCGCCTCCCGGGCCATAGCGCTCGACAGGTGCGGCGGCTGCTGGCCACGGAGCCGAAGGAGCGGCAGCGCTACGACCGCCTGGTGAACTGGACCTGCGAAGGAGCCGCTTCGCGGAGGAGCGGGGCTGGCCTCGCCTCGGAGAAGCCATTCAAGGGGGTTTTGGCCACGGCATGGGGTGAGCGCTTGCTCAGCTCATTTTTTTTTGGGTGATAGACGGTGTGGTTTCCACCACATGTGGTTGGAACAAGCTCAGTTTCTTGGTGTTTAGCCCGTGGTTTGAAGCACATTTAGTTTGATCAAGCTTCATTTGGAAAGGGGGAACAGGGCTTGGTCGTTCAGATCAATTTTGACACCTGAGGAGTCTGTCGCCCGGCCAGTGCCAGGATCTGAGCCTGTCGCGGCTTGGCGGTTCCCTGCCATACCCAATTTTGGGCGTGACCTTTTTCGAGTTGGTTCAATTGGTGAAGCCAGGTTCACTTTGGTTTCACTTTGGTGGTTTCGCTTTGGTGGTTTCGCCTTGTTTGTCAGCTTCACTTTAGGAATCAACAAACAAGTGGGTTCCTTGCCAACGAAAAGCGGGTTCCCACCCAACAAAGACACCATGCGCTTGCGGGGACTCGCGATTGCTTTGAACCACTGTTCGGAGCCAGTTTGTATGATGTGTATTGGGAAAAACCGATCAGTTCAAAACCGAGCTGGCCCTTTTGGGTTTTCCAATTTCGAGCTTCCATCTTTGCGTAAGGTGGGACCTTGAGTGGTTTTCCAGTGGGTTCCCAGTCCTGGCCTCGGTGTTTTTGGGGGGAGGAGCCGTCGGTTTCAGGCAGTGCCTGGGCCTCGACGGCACCTTGGCGGTGCCCGCCTGCAGGCTGCAGCCCCGGGCGCTGGGCGGCCTACGGCTGCGGCGGAAGATGCGACTGGACGCCACCCGCGTCAGCAGCTGGGTGGACCAGGCCGATGGAGCCCAACAAAAAGGGGTCTTCTGCTGTGTTCCGCTTGTTTTGGCCTTCAAAGCCAGCCCAAACCAAAGCACACTCTTGGCCCTTTTCGGAACATCACCTTGTCACCTTTTGTTCCTTGGACGGGACGCAGGCCCCGCCGTTTGATCCGGTTGACGATTGGTGTAGGTTTCATTTTGCTCGCACAGGGCGAGCGCCTCTTCCGAGTCTTCGTGGAGAGGCACGGCCTGTTCCTCGCCTTGTGGGCCGCCGCGCAGCCCGAGCTGGCGCCTGTGAGGGGCGCCACAGCCGGAGCTGAGGCGGAGGAGAATTGGAGCCGGTTGAGAGTGGGTGGTGGACCTTTTAATGTTCAGTTGCATTTTTGATATCCACCTGTTCGGGCCCTGAAGTAGAATTCACACCCGTGTTGTATGGATGGCACAAACTCCGGTCACTGGGCGATTCAAACCCTTCCGACATGTTAAGACCTGTTTCAACTATCTGCGTTGGTTTCCGCCAAGCTCCTCGGAAATCGTGGACCCGCTTTGGGTTGGCATTCAAAGCGAAACAAAAGCGGACCCTTGCCATTTTAGAGGACCACATCCTATTCTGAGGACCCCCTCCCCGCCTCAAAGAAAAAAAGCAACAAAACACGAGGGGGCGTCCACCTTGGGTTCCAACCAAATCCAAGGATCCGCCTTTTTCAGGTCTCCCTCTTCCCCCGCTTTTTCTTCGCGCTTTTTGCCAGGAGGCTGAGTGGCCAGACCCCGAGGAGGTGAAGCTGAGGGAGACCATGTTCGACGTGCTGCACAGCTTGCAGCAGGAGATCTCCTGGGACATCTGAGATCAGCTGAAAGGAGAAGACCTCGGGGCCTTGGCCGAGGCGAATGCCCTAAAACTGGGCTGCTTCTCAACTAAACATAGGTGCTGTGCCTAGCAAAAAAAGCGAGCAAGGTGGATGTCCTAAATGGGCTTTTTCTCAATTAAAAATGGGAGCGGTTTCCTAAAAAACGGCAGGGGCCTTTTTGGTGTCCCTTTGAATGCCAACCGAAAAGGGCTTGCCATTTTGAGAAACCGCCAACTATTGCAAAGTTCAGCAACCATCAACCGCAACGGCGAGGACAATTCCGGATCTCCCGGTTTCCTTGTTCCGTTGCAATACTTAGGGCATCCGCCGTAGCTCCGACCAATCAAATATGTCTGTCGGCCTGCGAAGTGCGCGGGAAACTGCGCGCGCGCCCGTTGCGGGCTTGGTGCTGCCGAGGCAGGCAGTGAATTTTCATCTCCAGGTGTCACATGATGCAAACGGGGTTTCAGTTTTTGCTTTATCAGTTTTTGGCTTTAGCTGGTTATCAGTCACGTTTGAGGTGACTGGATCCTTTGAAATCGACGTTATCACCAGACCCTTCAGGCTGGGCTCACCAGGACTCGGCCTTCCCAGGGCCGGCGCCTCGGAGTCCGTGGGTGATTCAGTTAGCGCATAGTTTTGTGGTCAGGCCTAACCTGTCACCATCTCAGAACCGAAGATGTGAAAAAACGAGCAAACAAACAAAACAAAAAAAAACGGAAAGGTGCGCGCAGGTGTGAACAAATGGGACGGTCATTTTTTTGGTGGATCCCCCAAAATGGTGGTTTTCCTTTTGGGTTTCCTTTAAAGCGACCCAAAGAAGGGTACCTAAAAGCCTGCGACACCAAAATTGGGGGCCCTTGACAACTCCAACCACGATCGACGGCCCAGGCCGGTGCCGGCTTACGCGGGTCTGGAGGCTATGGTATCCCAGGGTGAGACAGGCGCAGGGGGGAAGGCGTTCGCAGATGCGGTCTACGATCAGCTTGACAGTTGGGTGAAAGTAGATGGTGCAAAAGAAGAACCAAGTTTGGTTTAGCCACGCCCTGACCCACAGAAGCGGGATGGTGCCATCTATTTTCATCCCCGAGGTTGTCCTGCGGAATTTCCTGTAGGGTTGTGTAGCCAGTTGCTCCGCTTACTTCGCTGCTTCGCCCTTCAGGTGCGCAGTGCAGCTCGGGGTCTCCTTTCACTCAGCGCCTCGGAAAGAAAAGACGCCCAGGGCTCGTCTTTTCTTGGAGCCCTTTCTTGGCGTTTTACAGGGCTGTCATTTTCGGGGGTCCGATTCCTTTTTCAAGACGTTTTTGTCCCCCCTTTTGGATTTTTGAGCTAGATACCTACAGGTTTCTCTTGGGGGTTCCAGGACAATTTGGGTTTCCATGTCCGGGTTGGCCGTTGGCCTGACCAAGAGCTTGGTTCCTTCTTCTCGTGAGAAGAAAGGGACCGACTGGCTTCCGTTAATTTGAGAGGCTTCGGCTTCCCTTCAAACCATCCATTTACGGTTCGGCTTCCCTTCAGGGGTTCCCTTCATTTTTTTGACCCGCAATCTGAATCCCCGGTCCGATGCTTGAAAAAGCCGTGAGGTGGTCCACTCCCATGGCTTCGGAGGCACCGCCCATCTCCTCGGCCGCGTGGGGAGCCCTGGGGATGGAGCCGAGGGGGTTCCCCAAAAAGACCAAAAGGGGACCCCCAGAAAAGAAGGCCAAAAGCCGACTTTTCCTTCCGTTTTTTTTTTTGGGGGGGGGGCGGAAGCAGGATGTGGTGTCAAGTTCTAAGGGAACCTCTTGTGGGTCTCAGAGCCGACTTTTCTTTGAAGTTGCGGAGACTATCTTTAAAACTGACTTGTACAACAGGCAGGATGACAAAAACCGCCAGGTCCCGGTCATCGTGGTCGACTCCCACAGCCAAGGCCAGGCTGGGTCCGAGCTCTGATTTTTCCATGAAGGGGCAAGGGGGTCAGGTCCAGTGCAGTGGACTAGAACTTGTATATATCCTCACTTTCCCTGTTTGGTGGACTAAACACTTTTTCCGAAGAGCAGTTTAGTCTTTGGTTACTTGTTCTGACCAACACAAGTGAGAGAGCCTCTGACCTTCGCACCTGCAAAGAAAACATACACCTGAAAACACTTGCTTGACAGATGCTTGCAAAATAGGCTTGCCGCCTAGCTCCGCCAAGCGAAGCGGCATTCAAATCCAACCTAAGGGGGCGTCATGAGGGGATCCTCAAACGGCCCTTGGCTTAGGGTTGTTCCCCCACAACACCCTTTTTCAAGGCCTTCAGGCCGTTTTGGGGTTCCCTGAAAAGCTTTCCTGCCCTGGGGTGTCCATAGGTTTGACGCCTTTTCTCTGTGTGGCGGGACTCCAGTGGCTTTGGATGAGTGGCAAACTCACCAAGCTCGGGTTTCGCCAGGTTAGAGCAGGTTTTGCGTTTGCCTCGCGAATCGAATAACTCAGGTCAGGCCGAAATGTAGGGGGGGCATCCATCCGAGGTCTATCTCCCATTGGTCGGGCGCTCAGATCTCTCCATCCCTCCCCCCAAGGAAAACATGGGATGGTATGTACCATATACCCTCCATATACTCCATATAGTGGCTGGGGATGGTATCTCCCACATGTCGCCCCTGGAGGTAGCTTGGGCAGTGGAAATCTTATCTTCAGAATGTGGGTGTGTCCTTTCTTGCGGGAAACCATAATAAAACCACTTTTGCTTGGTTTCAAAGGGACACCAAAATCCACATCCACCATGAGGGCCCCTTTTCCCATGAGCTCAGGATCCCACCAACCCTTGGGCGCAAGACGTACTGCGCCTCTGTGAAAAGCATGGCCAAAACGTTGCAGGCCGGATCCGTCCATTCGTCCAGTCGGCCAAAATCGATCAGATTGTGGCGGATTGGTAGACCCCTTTTCGGTATGCATGACGGAAAATTGGTCCCGATCCGGGACCCCATTTGGAACTGTGGATGACCGAGATCCAGATTCTCTTTGTTGATGTTTTTTTTGGATTGCTTTACTGGAGAACCCAAAACTGGACACCAACAGTCCGTTTCGAAGCTCCACGTTACGGCAGCATTGTGTCGATCAAGCATATGCCCAGGAAAATTCAGTGCAGGAAGCCGAAAGGAGGTTGTTTCAACAGTGGTTTGAATATGTTGGAGCAAGGGGTTGAATCGCCCAGCCCTGCTTGCAACCCATTTGATTGTTTGTGAGTGTGTGTGTATGTATGTAATGTATGTATGTATGTATGTAATGTAATGTAATGTAATGCAATGCAATGCAATGCAATGCAATGCAATGCAATGCAATGCAATGTAATGTAATGTATGTATGTTATGTTATGTTATGTTATGTACGCATGTATGTATGTAATGTAATGTAATGTAATGTAATGTAATGTAATGCAATGCAATGTAATGTAATGTGTAATGTCATGTCATGTCATGTCATGTCATGTCATGTCATGTCATGTCATGTCATGTATGTATGTATGTATGTATGTGAGTATGTATGTATGTATGTATGTATGTAATGTATGTAATGTATGTATGTATGTATGTATGTATGTATGTATGTATGTATGTATGTATGTATGTATGTATGTAATTTATGTATTTATGTATGTATGTATGTATGTATGTATTTATGTATGTATGTATGTATGTATGTATGTATGTATGTATGTATGTATGTATGTATGTATGTATGTATGTATGTAATGTAATGTAATGTAATGTAATGTAATGTATGTATGTTATGTAATGTATGTATGTATGTATGTATGTATGTATGTATGTATGTAATTAAAGGTAAGTAATGTAATGTAATGTCATGTTAAGGTATGTATGGTATGTATGGTATGTATGGTATGTATGGTATGTATGTAATGTATGTATGTATGTATGTATGTAATGTAATGTAATGTAATGTAATGTAATGTAATGTAATGTAATGTAATGTAATGTAAATGTAATGTAATGTAATGTAATGTAATGTAATGTAATGTAATGTAATGTAATGTAATGTAATGTAATGTAATGTAATGTAATGTAATGTAATGTTATGTAATGTATGTATGTATGTATGTATGTATGTATGTATGTATGTATGTATGTATGTATGTATGTATGTATGTATGTATGTAATGTATGTAATGTAATGTAATGTAATGTAATGTAATGTAATGTAATGTAATGTATTGTATGTATGTAATGTATGTATGTATGTATGTATGTATGTATGTATGTATGTATGTATGTATGTATGTATGTAATGTATGTATGTATGTATGTATGTATGTATGTATGTATGTATGTATGTATGTATGTATGTATGTATGTATGTATGTATGTATGTATGTATGTATGTATGTAAATGTATGTAATGTATTAGTAATGTATGTATGTATGTATGTATGTATGTATGTATGTATGTATGTATGTATGTATGTAATGTATGTATGTATGTATGTATGTATGTATGTAATGTATGTATGTATGTATGTATGTATGTATGTAATGTATGTATGTATGTAGGTAATGTATGTATGTATGTATGTATGTATGTATGTATGTATGTATGTATGTATGTATGTATGTATGTAAGTAATGTATGTATGTATGTATGTATGTATGTATGTATGTATGTATGTATGTATGTATGTATGTATGTATGTATGTATGTATGTATGTTATGTATGGTATGTATGTATGTATGTATGTATGTATGTATGTATGTATGTATGTATGTATGTATGTAATGTATGTATGTATGTATGTATGTATGTATGTATGTATGTATGTATGTAAGGTATGTATGTATGTATGTATGTAATGTATGTATGTATGTATGTATGTATGTATGTATGTAATGTATGTATGTATGTATGTATGTATGTATGTATGTATGTATGTATGTATGTATGTATGTATGTATGTATGTATGTATGTATGTATGTATGTATGTATGTATGTATGTATGTAAATGTATGTATGTAAATGTATGTATGTATGTATGTATGTATGTATGTATGTATGTATGTATGTAATGTATGTATGTATGTATGTATGTATGTATGTATGTATGTATGTATGTATGATGTAATGTATGTATGTATGTATGTATGTATGTATG